TAGAAATTTTTATCCCGAAAAAGCATTTTTAGATACCAATGTTTATTAACATGATATGAAATTAGAAGTGATTTATGAAGCTTTGCAAAGAACCTTGAAGGAGTGTGTGCACGTCATTACAGGTCAGAATTGTTTTGATTAAACTACAAATGTAAAGGAAGGCGTTTAGATAGAAAAAAAATGCAAGTTTTTATGAATGGTTGTACAAATACATCCCATCAAATATTCAGTCTCAAAATCTAGTACTACAACTGGCAATATTATTAAACGATGGCTGCTAGGTAAGACGTACCGAAAGAAGTTTTTAAAAGTCTTTAATTTTATACCTAGACAGGCCTGTAGAAGCAATTTCAGTTTGGGGGATGGAGAACAGCCATACATTTTAAGTTAAGGAACTATGATATCAACTAAAAATTCCTCGACAAGCAAATACAAACGTCACTGGTTTATACTGAGGGGGACACGAGCATATAGTAGCAATGTTTTCTACAGTATAACATATATAATATACTTATTATTGGATTTTTCATATGGAATACATTGTAAATAAGAACTGTAAACATAATTCATGAGAAAATAAAGAAAAAAAATATTTTGACCAGGGGTGTATATTGGGGGGAGGGGGGTGTGGTTCCTGTCCACAAGTACCTGTGAAAAATACTGGTATTCATGTAGAGAGAACAAATTGACAAACTAAACATAAACTGCCTGTACATATTGCAACAAAAAAAAGACGTACATTTTTTTTAACAATTGAAAGAAAGAGGGCATAGTGTTTAAAGCGGTCTTGGACCAAACCCTGCGCTATGGAGAGAGTTCGAATCATACGTGAAGCTTTTTCTTTTTCACATATCTTAAAAACATGAGTGAAAAATAAATTTTTAATAAAATATTGAAACAACGAAATACAGAATCAAATGTGTAAAAGATGATATGAACAATATAATTTTGAAAAACATAACTTTTACAATTGAGAAATGTCTTTTCTCAGAGCGGGATATTGTCCTCGCCTTGTGCGCCTCCATTCTTTACAGAAATTTAAACAATTGAAAATAATGATATCTGAAGTACATTCATCTGGCTCACAAATATAACCACAAGTCTGGAAGATTTATTTTCAGGAATCTCAAACACCAAATGCGGTCCAAGGGTTAATGTGTCAAATTCGCCAGAATTTTTATCCATTATGTGATCGGGATGATTTGAGTTTTGCGTCTGCTGATAAATAGAAAGTATGTCAGAAAGACAATATGGTCATAAACAGTACTCAAGCCCAAAAGTCCATTAATATACATTTTAGAAAACAAAACCCTGTGCTCGTGAAATGAACATGGTAACGTACTGTATACAAGTTCTAAATGTAACTCGTGTAGATTAAATCGTCTGCCAATTGACAGATTAAAAGATATTTAAGAAAAGATTAAAACATTTCAAATGCTTTGTCTTTCAAGAGTAATCCTTTCGATTCTTAATCGTCCAATGCAGAAAATGCTTTCTAATATCTATGAGCATTTTAATTCAGTTTTTCAATGAACTATAGGTATTTAAATCTATTTACAAAACATACCCTTTAAAGATTAATAATCAATATATTTTCCATGGTACGATATGTAGTCTAATGTTTCAGAAAAATGTGTACAATGCGGAATCAAGCACTCAGATAGCTCCATGTGCATTTTGTAAGCATTTGTTGAAAGGTAAGGCTTTTTATTTTTAATGAATCATGCGACAAAAGCCAGGATAACCTCGTAAAAAGTTCTTTACTTAGATATTTCATTGAATTGGCTAACCATCCATGTACTTTTTGATTACATCGAATTTAGTAAGGGGGGGGGGTGCATTGTTACAACGTGAAATGTAATAACAACGCGAAATGTAATAAACATGGATTACAACATTTTGTTATTACATTTTGCGTCGAGATCAACGCAAAATGTAATAACGCAAAATTTAATAACATGATTTTTAGATTATTACATTTTGCGTTATTACATTTTGCGTCGAGATCAACGCAAAATGTAATAACATGCTTTTTCGTTGTTACATTTTGCGTCATTTTATTCTTGCACTGAAGACAACGCAAAATGTAATAAAACAACATGTAATAAAACAAAATATATATACTTTTTTTGATTCCGTATAACAAAAAAGAACATAAAATTGATTCAAATATATACATTCAACCAACATGGGAAACACGCTGAAAAAATATTTAGAAATAAAACAATCAATGAGACCAACGTTAGCGCTTTTACGGACATAAACCTAACTGTATCGTTTTTCTGACTGTGATTTTAGTTATAATGAATTAAATTACCTTTGATTGGCATATTTTTGATAGTTGTATTAAATTTCTAACCAATAACACATATCTAATTATCAAAGATTGACCATAGGTTTATTAAAAGCTCTTGCAATGCTGGTGATTTGCATGAAAGGTATGGCATCATTATTGTCAATAAACCCCTTTCCGCTATACATTTACACCTTCCAGTACAAATGAATTTTTTTTTAGAGTCGTTGCATTTGTCTATAAAACAAGAGGCCCAGGGGCCACAGCGCTCACCTGAGCACATCGGGCTTGAATTTATCCCCCACCCCTCCAGGCTTTCATCATTTGAACAAATTAGAATCTACACTACCTGAGGATGATTCCATATAAATATCACTAATCATAGCTTTGAAGTACTTGAAAAGAAGATTTTAAAAGGTTTCCCTTTATATCCCTATGTAAAACTTGGGTCGGCCATTTTGGCCCCACCCTAGCCCCGGGGGTCATGATTTGAACAAACTTGAATCTACACTACCTGAGGATGATTCCAAATGGGTTTCATCTTTCCTGGCCCAGTGGTTCTGGAGAAAAAGATTTTAAAAGGTTTCCTTTTTTATATCCCCATGTAAAACTTGGGTCGGCCATTTTGGCCCCACCCTAGCCCCGGGTCTCATGATTTGAACAAATTTGAATCTACACTACCTGAGGATGATTCCACATGAGTTTCATCTTTCCTGGCCCAGTGGTTCTCGAGAAGAAGATTTTTAAAGATTTTTCCTATATATTCCTATGTAAAACTAGGGTCGGCCATTTTGGCCCCACCCTTGCCCCGGGGGTCATGATTTGAACAAACTTGAATCTACACTACCTGAGGATTATTCCACATGGGTTTCATCTATCCTGGCCTAGTGGTTCTGGAGAAGAAGATTTTTAAAGATTTTTCCTATATATTCCTATGTAAAACTTGGGTTGGCCATTTTGGCCCCACCCTTGCCCCGGGGGTCATGATTTGAGCAAACATGAATCTACACTACCTGAGGATGATTCCACATGAGTTTCATCTTTCCTGGCCCAGTGGTTCTGGAGAAGAAGATTTTAAAAGATTTTTCCTATATATTCCTATGTAAAACTTGGGTCGGCCATTTTGGCCCCACCCTTGCCCCGGGGGTCATGATTTGAACAAATTTGAATTTACACTACCTGAGGATGCTTCCACATGAGTTTCATCTTTCCTGGCCCAACGGTTCTGGAGAAGAAGACTTTTTAAAAATGCCATTAATTTTTAACAAATTCATGATTATCTCCCCTTGGAAAAGGGCGTGGCCCTTCATTTGAACAAACTTGAATCCCCTTCACCCAAGGATACTCTGTGCCAAGTTTGGTTGAAATTGGCCCAGTGGTTCTGGAGAAGAAGATGAAAATGTGAAAAGTTTACGACAACGACAACGCCAACGACGACAACAACGCCAACGACAGACGACGGACGAATTTTGATCAGAAAAGCTCACTTGAGCCTTCGGCTCAGGTGAGCTAAAAAGCAAAAGCACACTGGTCAATACCCCCAACAACCCTGCCCACAGATGCACGTTTCTGATTTGCAATATCTATAATTTGAATTATACATTTATTAAACTGATTTTAAATACATGTAGCGAATTAAATCAATATATTATAAAACTTATTAATTGTAAGAAATTGTATATACATGTATCAATTCTTTTTCCTTTTGATTTATTTTCTTTTCATCGGCCACTACACTATTGAAAATTGTACTCAATCTGGCTGACGAAAAAAGTGTGTTATTACATTTTGCGTTCTTGCCTTTGGCTTAATCTCGACGCAAAATATAACAACGCAAAATGTAATAATCCAAAAATCGTGTTATTACATTTTGCTTTATTACATTTTGCGTTGATCTCTTCGCAAAATGTAATAACGCGAAATGTAATAATCCTCAAAAGTGTGTTGTTACATTTTGCGTTATTGCATTCTGCGTTGATTTCGACGCAAAATGTAATAACGCAAAATTTAATAATCCAGATTTATTACATTTCGCGTTGATATTACATTTCGCGTTGTAACAGTGCATGAAGTGGGGAAATCGAAGTTTTACACAGAAAAAAGTAATATAATTTTTTGGACTTGGTCAGTAAGGACAAGTCTGCTATAAAATGTTAGAAACCTCATTTCGAACAATATTCTAGTAATTATTTAGATTGGAGTTTTGAGGACATAAGTTCAGTTTTGCATCAGTCAGAAGAAGATACCCAGCTTGTTCGACAAAATGGGATCCAGCAAACAGTGTTGCTTATAGGAATCTTTGTCATAGAATTATAAAAATCCTCAAAAAATTGACCTTTTAGTTTGATCCTCGCCACTGATTGAAAGCACTCGATCTGACCCTCGATATTTAGGGGATGGCAGAGGAATATTTGGTCTCTGCTTGGAGTAGAATATCAATGCTTAATCTTTTCTTTCTTGGGGTGGGGATGGGGCATTTTAAAGATCAAACAAAAATAATCCCTAATATGAATTGCTGTACTACTCAACTTTTTCGGTTATCGCATACAGGCCGATAGCAAGTCATTTAAGCCTGGGGTGCACAACTAAACACCTTGACAGTCATTTAAATAAGGATATCAGACGTAATTACTGAGGGGACGCAAGCATACATTAAGTATTTTTTCATAAAATGCTAGCAATTTATGGACAACATTATTAGAGGAGAATGACATCCTCACTCTCCCTGGCGTATCCCCTACTCGGTTCCTACGGCCATATTAAAAGTACTAATGCTTTAATAGATTCATCTCCAAGGTTTTGTGATGTCGGTACATCAACAGATTTTGACATTCCTTTATTTCAGAGTCTTATGATGGACAATGAAGCACTCTCGGCCTCAAACTCCGGCTCACTGTCAGGTGCCAATGTGATGGTAGATGGTTATCTGCGGGGAACGTGCATCTCAAACATCAGGAAAAGCCATGCCAATCCCTTCCAAAGTCCTGGTCAGTTGACGTTTTTAGATGAAAACAGGCAGTCAAAAGGAAGTCATGACAGACTCACTGAGCACAATAGAACCGCAAGGAAATTTCGCAAGTCGACATCAAATATGAGGGAGTATAACATGCAGTATAATGGTCTCACAATCATTCCTTGGGAGGAGTTTGTGTCAAATCCTACTCAGCTCAATGATTTGTTTCACTTAGAAAAGACTGGCTTCATAACATTTGACCCTGATGAAGTAAACGTCTTCTTTCATGCCACAAGAATGAATAAACCCCCGCTTGGCAATATCAGCGAAAACGGCAAGGCTTGGTAAGCATTTCGTTTCAAAAGAAATCATTAAATTCACTTAGACAGATTGTCAAGAAAAATCAGATAAATAAAACTGTATTCCAATTGCAAAATTAATGGACTACAATTTAAGTTTTTGAACGATCGTACTGATATACAGTTTACCTCCTCTTTCAGCCAACTACTGTCCCAAACTATACTCACCGTCAATAGAAACGCAACACCCTAAGTTTAGGGTGAAAATTATATACGGGTTATAACTATGTACCAGAAAAGTAAGGACATCTTTTACTTTGCCAAATCAGCTATTTTACGGTTGAATGAATTTCTTTCCATTACCGGAAGTTGCTTCTGAGCCCTCTTAACAGAATTCAAAATTTTCCATTTTTAATAAAATTTTAACAATATTTTGGGTTTCCAAGGTTTTGAAACTGTTAATCATAAGTATTGTACTAAAAGGCCGGAAAAAATCCTTCTTTCTCTACCGGATGTGATGCCTATATTTCCTCAAAATGACTGATTTTCATTGCTAATGCTGAAAATTCTAAAAATAAAGAAAAAAAGAGCTGCAGATACAAATGCACACTATATAACGACTCATCAGGCTCATGCGTTTCAAAAGCATAAATGACAGTTTCTTGACCGGAAGTCAAAAAGTTGCTACACTACGCCAGGTTAGAGAAAATTCGACCCCAATATCTGAAAAACATGTATTTAAAAATGCCCAAAAATATTAATTTCGCTCAGATTAAGACATTAATAAACTTAATGCATGGTAGAAATCGGGCTGCATTTGTTGTATATGGCGGACTAGAATGTTTTCATTAAATGGTCGGAAGGGGGGATGTTGTAAGATTTACCGGGTATTTGTTTCTTTCTAAGGTCTAAAAATAACATTTAATGTTTAAATGGAGCATTAATTTTTTGTAAATTTACTTTTTACCGAAATATATTCATTTTTAATGTTATCATTCAACTTTAGAAGGTAACACATAACTCTTAAAACATCCCCCCTTCTTGCTATCAGTTATTTTGATGAAATATAGGCATCACATCCGGTAAAGAAAGAAGGATTTTCCCCCGGCCTTTTAGTACAATGCTTATGAATGACAGTTTCAAAACCTTGGAAACCCAATTTATTGTTAAAATTTTATTAAAAATGGAAAATTTTGAATTCTGATAAGAGGGCTAAAAAGCAACTTCCGGTAATGGAAAGAAATTCATTCAACCGTTAAAATAACTGATTTGGCAAAGTAAAAGATGTCCTAACTTTTTTGGAACATAGTCATAACCTGTTTTTAATTTTCACCCTGAAATTAGGGTGTTGCGTTTCTATTGACGGTGAGTATAGTTCAGTTGTATTCAAAGTTATACCTTTTTGCTGTCATACATTATAATGTAAACGACTTTTTATCATTTTATACAATATTATTGTAAAACCTTGAATGAAATATTCATGTCTAAGTGATTTAAAATTAATTAATTTATTTTTTTCAGATATATAAAACTTGGTTTGGTACGTTGTTATTTTAATGATTTTTGAAACATCTTCTTTAGTATCATGTTTTGAACCTCTGTGGTGTAATTTCTTTCAGGGTTTTGACCGTAGAAAATAGCCGTGAACTTGAAGAGCTTAGATTGTCACTTACGGAGAGAATATCAGTTTTTGGGTTGACCTTAGTCAGAAAACAATCCAAACAAAAACAACGAG